CAAGACGGCCCAAGAGGGCCCCCAAACGGCCCAAGAGGGCCCAACGACGGTCCCAAGAGAGCCCTGGACCCCAAGAGGTCCACCAGAGGGCCCCAAGAGGCCCCGAAGAGAGCCCCAAAAGGGCCATAGCCATCCCAAAGGCCCCAAGACGACCCAACAGGGCCTCAGGACGGCCCCATAGGGCTCCAAAGCGGCCCAAGAGGGCCCCACCCCCAAGAGGGCCCCATGAGGCCCCCGAGAGAGGCCCAAGACGGCCAAAGGCACCCAAGACGCCCCAAGACAAGACGGCCTCGAAGGTCCCCAAGACGGCTCAAGAAGGTCCGAAAGCAGCCCAAAAAGGCCCCTCAAAGAATCCCAAGGAACCCCAGAAACGCCAAGTAACACCATGGCTCCCGACAGCGAACAGTCACGTAACAAGCTCTCGACACCCGGGCTCCCCAGAGCGCGGTGACGTAAACCGCTCTTCACAGGAAGGCTTCCAAGAGCGAGTGATAACGTACAAGTTTCTGAACACCAGAGCTCCCAACAGTGCGGTGACGTAACAAGCTCTGAAAGAGCGCGTGTGGTTCGCTTGGAGGGGGGGAGGAGTTTGGAACCGGACCCCCCCCACTCCTAGATGGAGGGTGGGATGGGGGTGGGTCGACCCCCCCCCCTCGCGTGACGGAAGGGGGGGGGGGTTCGACCCCCCCCCGCCTCCTCCTCCTCTACTTCTCCTCTCTTCCTTTCCTCTGGCCAGCGCCTGCGTCGGCGGCGGCTGGCGGCGGTGGCGGGGACGAGTACATCCTTTTTTGGGGCCGGCGCCGGCGCCTGCGGCGGCGGGCGGCGGCGGCGGGGAGCGTCGACGAGGACGATGGCGACGACGATGACGACGACGACGACGACGATGACTACTTTCCGCCACCGTGCCCTGGTTTTGGGTCAGGGTCTTAATGGATGCCTGTTGGGGTCTCGTCGGAGGGCTCTCGGGGGCCTCTGAGGGCATTTGTGAAGCCTCCTGGACGCCTCTTGAGCGTCTCTTGGTGCCTCTCTGAGGCGGTGGTGGTGGTTGTGGTTGTGGCGGTGGTGGTGGTTGTGGTGGTGTGGTGGTTGGTGGTGGCAGTGGTGGTGGTTGTTGTGGTGGTTGTGGTGGCAGGCTGTGGTTGTGGTGGTGGTGGTGCGGTGGTTTCTGGTGGTGATGGTGGTAGTTGTGGTGGTGGTGGGTTGAGATGGTGGTGGCGGTGGCGGTGGTGGTGTGGTGGTTCGTCGTGGTGGTGTGGTGGTGGCGGTGGTTGTGGTGGTGGTGGGTTGTGGTGGTGGTGGTGGTGGTTGTGGTGGTGGTGTTGGTGGTTGTGCTTCGTTGTGGTGGTGGTGTTTGTGGTGGTGGGTGGTGGTGGTGGTGTTGGTGGTGGTGGTGTGGTGGTTGGTGGTGGCAGTGGTGGTGGTTGTTTTGGTTGTTGTGGTGGCAGGCTGTGGTTGTGGTGGTGGTGGTGGTGCGGTGGTTTCTGGTGATGATGATGGTGGTAGTTGTGGTGGTGGTGGGTTGAGATGGTGGTGGCGGTGGCGGTGGTGGTGTGGTGGTTCGTCGTGGTGGTGTGGTGGTGGCGGTGGTTGTGGTGGTGGTGGGTTGTGGTGGTGGTGGTGGTGGTTGTGGTGGTGGTGTTGGTGGTTGTGCTTCGTTGTGGTGGTGGTGTTTGTGGTGGTGGGTGGTGGTGGTGGTGTTGGTGGTGGTGGTGTGGTGGTTGGTGGTGGCAGTGGTGGTGGTTGTTTTGGTTGTTGTGGTGGCAGGCTGTGGTTGTGGTGGTGGTGGTGGTGCGGTGGTGGTGGTGGTGGTGGTGTGGTGGTGGTGGTGGTGGTTGAGTGGTGGTGGTGGTGGTGGTGTGTGGTGGTTTGAGGTGGTGGTGGTGGTGTGGTGGTGGTGGCGGCGGTGGTTTGTGGTGTGGGTGTTGTGTGGTGGTGGTGGTTTGTGGTGGTGGCTGTGGTGGTGGTGGTGTAGTGGTTTGTGGTGGTGGTGGGTTGTGTTGCTGGTAGTGGTGGTGGTTTTGGCGGTGGTGGTGATGGTGGTGTGGTAGATTGTGGTGGTGGTGGTGGTAATGGCGGTGGGTTGCTGTGGTGGTGGTGGTGAGTTGTTGTGTTGGTGGTGGTGGTGGTGGTGGTGGCTGTGGTGGTGGTGATGGTAGTGTGGTGGTGTGGAGGTGGTGGTGGTGGTGGGTTGAGGTGGTGGTGGTGGTGGTAGGGGCGGTGGCGGTGGTGGTGGTGGCGTCTTGGTTTGCGGTGGTGGTGGTGGTGGTGGTGGTGGATGGGCTGCTCTGTTGTGCTGCTGCTGGTAGCGGTGCTGGCGGTCATGGTGGGTGGTGGGTGGTGGTGGTGGTAGTGGTGGTAGTTGTGTTGGTGGAGGTGTGGTGGTTTGTGGTGGTAGTGGGTTGTGGTGATGGTTGTGGTGGTGGCGGTGGTGGTGATGGTGGTGGGAACGGTGTGGTGGGTTGTGGTGGGTTGTGGTGGTGCTGTTGGTGGTGGCGTTTTTGGTGCTGGTTGTGTAGTGGTTTGTGGTGAAGTTGGTGGTTGTGGTGGTGGGTTGCGGTGGTTGTGGTGGATTGTGGTGGATTGTGGTGGTGGCGGTGGTGGTGGTGGTGTAGTGGTTTGTGGTGGCGCTGGTGGTGTAGCCTTCGGCTCTTCCCGCCACCGTGTTTTGGCTTTGGGTCAAAATGCCTCTGGAGGTATCGTCAGAAGGGTCAGGGTGGCGTCTGAGGAGCATGTGTGAAGCGTCGTGGACCTTCCTAAGGGCCTCCCGGTGGCTTCCGGGGGGCGAGGGCTCGATATGGCGATTTGTGTGTTCCCTCTGCGGCCTCTGGGCCCTCTCTGGTCATCGTCGCTGCGTCCCCGCCGTCGGCGCTGCTGGCCGCCACCAGCGCTGGCGCCGGCGCCGGCGCGGGGGGGGGGGGTTGGACCCCCCCCCGTCCCCCTGGGCCCTCTCTGGTCATCGTCGCTGCGTCCCCGCCGTCGGCGCTGCTGGCCGCTAGCGCCGGCGCCGATGCCGGTGCCGGAGGGGTTTAGAGCTGAAGGGTTTCGGGAGTGGGGGCGGTTAGGGGGGAGGGGACTCCCCCTGCTTCTGATCGACGGCGCCGAGTGTGGGGCGGGGGGGGGGCCCGCCTCCTGGTTTGAAACGCGCCGCCGAATGCTCCCAAGTCAAGCGCCCGTGAAACGCGTTCTCTCCAAGCTCTGAACACCAAGGCTCCCAAGAGCGAAGGGTGCCATGAGCCATCTCGGGTAAGTTTCTGCAGCGCTCTTTCCGTTCCCGTGCTGGCCCAGGTTCTAACGCGCCCAGTCCGTGCAAGAACGGTGGCGGATTTTACAGTGCCGCTAAAACTTCAACCTCCGGAATTCCCCTGATTCTTCTGATGCACCATCGCATGCGAATCGGCGCATGACACGTCCTTGGCTTGTGCAAAAGAGTGCCCGCGACCCACCCGCGACCCACCCGCGACGCACCGCGCGACCCACCCGCGACCCACCGCGACTCACCCGCAACCCATCCGCGACCCACCCCGCGATCCGCCCGCAACTCGCCCGCGACCCACCCGCGATCCACCCCACCCTCGCCCCCCCACTCTCATCCGCAGCTGCGCGATTGGCCCGCTGTTTCTGCAGCTGAGTGCCGTGGCCGTTGTCCGTGTGACTGTGGCGTCAGGCCGTTTGCCGGCGACCCCGCCCGGCCACGAAGACCGCGCGCGCGCTGCGCCTCGGACGAGCGTGGCGCCGAAGCGGGTCGGGGACGCGAGCGCACACGATCCAGTGGCCGATTGCTGCCAGAACTGGGGGCCTGCTGTGGCCCTTCCAGAGGCATCCCAGGGCCACTCGCGATACAGTCGGACCGGTCTATTGGTCGAGGTCGGTTCGGGGAGGGTGACCTGGTGCTCTTCGGGGATTGGATGTTTTGGTGCGCCCTGGGGGAGGGCACCCTTGAACGTACTTCAGTTTGGCCGGCAGAGGGTCATGTTCTTGAAGGGTGTTCTTCTGTCCTAGGTCCGACTGTACCTTCTGGACATCCGGACAACGGCCTGGCATCGCTCGACGTGTGCATGTTTTCTCGGCGAGGACCATCGAGGAGCATCCTGGATCATTGAAGAAGAAACCATGCACAACAAACGGATAATGCACGGGGAGTGGATGTCCGAGCGATGTCAAGAAGGGGGGCGCACTGCGCGGGAGGACATGCAGCAGGACGCGATCGACTGCGCCACCCAGGCGCTGGAGAAGTACAACATCGAGAAGGAGCGGCACGCGTGGATGATTATGACCAGGATGGCCAAGGCACGCCCAGAATGCATCAGAGATGCTACAATACACCTCTGGTTTTTGAGTTCAAACAACTGTTTCTTGAACTAAAATTAATGTTACATTACTCAACAACCAATTCAAAAACTACAGTTAAACATTCAAAAACCAGCTTGTTGAATTCAAGAACTTGTTTTTTAATTCAAAAGCCAGCGTCCCAAGTCCCAGTCTCACAAGTCGCTACATGCCGAGCCCCTTCAAAATCAGCACCCAATAGGGGATATCCCCGTTTGAAAAGGGTTGGCCCGGAACCTTTCTAGCTACAAGGGCGTCGAGGATAGGATCACCGAGTCCGAGGAGGTGATCAGCGAGTGCGGCGATCCCTGGGCCGTTTTCGTTTCGATGCCGTTGCTGCAGCAAAGGCGGGTGGACGACAAAACGAAAACGAAAACGAACAGCACTGTTCGGGTCGATCCCTGGGCTAATGCTTCCGTCCGATGCGGGGGGAGTCGTGGTTGTTGGTGATGGTTATGGTGGGAACCCATGTCAAGAAACACCCTGCTTGCCTCCAGGGTTCCCTGGGCTTCTCGGGTTTCGAATGGCGTTGCTATGGACAGCGTGACGCACCCACGCCAAGAATCCATGGACGTCCCTGGGTCAGAGGGTTGGGTGTCTTGTGGAAGGTTTCTTGTAATCGAGCTCCTACAGTAGTGCCTACCGTCTGGTGCGGGGGGCGTCGTGGGTGGTGGCGATGGCCACCGCAGAAGGAGAACATTTCCCTCGGCAGAGCCCACCACGCACCCACGACCGCGGCGACGACGACCACGACCACGGACGCGAGGCGCGCCGACGACCTGAGCCGTCTGTCGGGAGCAACGCTGTGGGGGGGAGGCAGGGATCATTTCGATTCCTCCGATCCGATTCGATTCTATTTCGATGGCTTCCGATTCCGATGCGATTCGGCTTGGGATTCCGATCTGGACTCCGATGCTTTACTGGATGCCTACTAGCCTGCCGATTTCTGCCGATTCGACTTCTCCCGACTTGGCTGCCGATTGCCGCCGATTCGATGCATTTCGATAGCCGATCCGAGTTGTCGATTCGATTCTGGGCTCTCCTGCGCAGGGGGGGGCGTGCATCGGCTTTGGTCGGGCACGTCCTCCTGCAGGCGGATTTTGGAGGAAACATAAAGCACAGATAGCCAGAAGTGTCCATAGATATTCAACAGCAGTCGAACAATCGTCCCCACGGTTTTTTTTCAATACAAAAAAACATGTTTGAGCATTCCTCCTGTAGAGGGACAAGGGACAAGCCCTCGACGGGAGGAACAGCATCACCCCCACATCGCCCACGGATTGTCGATAGGGGGCCCAAAAGCCCCAGCCTGCCCAGGATGGGGCCTCTCTCGCTCTTTTCTCTCGGCGATCCACTGCCGCCTCCGGGTCGATGTGCCTCCTTCCTGTTGCCAAGGAGTCCCCCCGTTCCCACCGCTGCCCCCCCGAAGCGCGCATCTGGGGACGAGCCGAATCCCGTTTGCTTTGGCGTACATAGGTCACGCCGCGCAGCGGGGGTTGCAGCCCGCTCCCCTCGGGCCGGAACCCTCGCGCCTCGCTGCGCTGGGCAGCGCGCTCCGGCACCCTGCCCGACGGGCCTCGTCGGGGCCGCCGAGGGGGAGGGCGGCGGATGCCGACGAGTCTGAAGTCGGGCCCGTCCCTCTGCCGGGGGAATGTTCAAGAATAGTCGGAAGACTCTATGTTTTGAGCATTTTGTACCATTTCGGAGCATGTCTTTTTTTGTTCGTTGAAAATCCCCCTGTGGGGGGACACGCCCGACTGAAGACAAGTCCCAGAGACAGCTGAGGAGCTCTCAGGCGCCGCGGCTCGGAGAGCTGCGGAAGGGCAGAGGCACGGGCGGACGGACAGCCAGGCGGCCTGTTGCGGTTGCGGGGAAGGGGGGGGCAGACCGAAGAGTTGGGAGGGGGAAGGCTTGCGGCAGTCATGCCCCCTCCCCGCTCCCTCATTCCTCCTTTGTGCTCCTGACCTCCAAGGTCCTCCTTTCTGATGAGAGAACTCTTATGATGGTGTGGGCAAGCGGCGCAGGACATCGCGGCCTTCATAAAGAAGGAGTTTGACAAGAAGTACAATCCGACGTGGCACGCTATCGTCGGCTCGCGTTGGGAGGACGAGGGTGCGATTCTGCCACAGAGTAGAGCTCATGGGCTGCTACATTCTCCACCACTCCTGGTCTCCTCTCCTCGCAGGTGGCGGGCAACCTTTCCCCATGTGAGTCCGACGGCAGCATGCTGCTGCACACGTTAGATGCAGTAGGCCGTCCTTCTCCAGGGCCTAGTTGCCATGCTCGTGCTTGACCGCATCCTGGGCATGCGAAGGGAACAAGGGTTAAGTTGGGCCTGTCCCCCTACACGAGGAACATTCAAAAATAGTCAAAACATAGTCAGGGGGACTATCTTTTGAGTATTTTTGACAAGTTTGGAACATCTTTTGCGTAGTTTTATTTTTCGTCGAAAATCCCATTGTAGGGGGACAGGCCCGACCTAAAACAAGGGTGTGTGTATGGCCCTGGGAGCCGCTGTGGGGTGGGGTGAGCCGTGTATGCACCCGAAACTAGGCTACCGTATTCTCAAGATATGACTGTCAGGGGGAAAAAACACACAGACACAATGAATCGTCGATTCCCCAGAAAGTATGAGAAAGTATGGGAAGCGGGGGGGAAGACAAAAATCCAGAAGACATGGGAAAATAAAGGGAATCCTGCTATTTGTGTGGATTCATTTGTGTGTCCCAGGGCCCCTTCGGATTGGTCACGGGAGTTCGTATTCAGTTCCAGAGATTCATGCCGTCGTCTTCAGGCCTCTTACAACGGCGGGGTGCAATTTGGCATGGCGATCTCGCACGATGGTTTTCGCACAGGTATGGTCGCCGATCCAGACGCGAGCGCGAGCCAGACTCTACCCAACATCTGGTGTTTGCTGGTGTGCACGATCGCATGATCATTTGTTGGATTTCGTATGTGCATACATACCTCCCTGCATGCGTACATGCCCACCATAATTGTAGAACCATCGTTTGCTTCGCGTTCGATCGAGTTCTGGCTAGCTCTGGCGCCAACGCGTAGTGCAGACCAGGGACAATACCAGGATCATGAAACATCGGAGGGTGCCTATGACGACTTAGGGTGCCGATGGCCTCTTATCAAGGGAGTCGGATACCCCAGAATTTGCCAACACCCCTTGCGTTCTCGTGAAAGCGAAGAGGCGAGAAGTAACACGCAGGAGGAAAGACGGAGTCGTACTTGAAGCACGAATCTGCGGGACTGGGGATGGTGAGAGGGCCGAGGGAGGAGACTGGGGAATGGTGATGAGAAGGGAAGGGTGAAGAGGAGAGCTTGCGTGATGTGCAGGAGGGGAAGGAGGACCAGGACCACCGCTAAGTCGGCGCCCCCGTGGCCAAGTGTTGTGGAGATGTAGTTTGATGGCCTTCGGCCCATCCCGCCGCCGTGCCTGGGTTGTGGGCCTTAGGCTTCTAGGATGTATGTTGGGATGTCGCGGGAGGCCTCTCGGGGGCCTCGTGGAGGTAGTTTTTCTTGGGGCTCCGAGGGGGTTCTGGGCCTCCTGAAGGGCTGTTTTTGGACCTTTTCGGGTTGCCTTCTTTGCTGTCTTGGGGAACGCTGAGAGCTCTCCGTGGCCGTCGTGGGTTCGCGCGTTTGGGCCCTTCGAGGCTGCCTTGGGGTCTTTGGGGGCCGTCTTGGGGCCCTCTGTACACCCTCTGGTTCCGTCCTGGAGTCCCCTCGGGTTGTGTTTGGCGCCTCTTTGGACAATCTTTGGGCAAGCGGGGGGTCCTCGCGGGGCCATGTTGGGCAGCCTTTGGGCGACATGTCACCACCCACCAAACCACCCCAACCCAACCCGAAGGCTCAGATTTACCCTCGATTTCCAGTGGGGGGGGGTCGGGAAACATAGAAACAACACATGTGGAACCCTTACCCCCCCAACCCGAAATTCGGGTTTTCGGGTTGGGTTGGGGTGGTCTGGTAGGTAGTCAACATGTGCGGCGTCTTGGGCTGTCTAGGACACTCCAAATTCTTGGCGTCGCTGGGGGCTGCGACCTCCGAAGCTGTCGCCGCTTTACCAAGCTCCTGGGAGGTCCAGCGGAGTGGCGTCCTATTCAGATCAGACGAGACCTCGCCGTCGCTTTGGAGCGTCACCGCGACATGGCGCGGGCCGCACTGGTTATCCAGCGTGCCACTGGAAAATGATCGCCACCCTCCTTCCTCATCCTGCCTCTTTCGTTGCTGTCCTCTTTCTCCTTCCACCGTCTCCTGTTCTGTCCCGCTCCTGCACCTCGCTCTCACCCCCATTTCACCTTTGAGCCTTGGACCTCAGTCCTCGTCCTTCGATTGCTGTCCTGTGAGTCGTGCAACGCGCGCGCGCATCGCATGTAGCTTCCGCAGCACATTGCGCTTCCAGTATGGGCAGCATCCATAGTGATATGGGCCAGCTTCTCCTGTCACTGAATGCAGATGAATTGTGTACATCACAGGGTGATTTACACCTCCCCCCCGATCTTGGTGGGCCCTGGAAACGACAGGGCTCTCTCTTACTTGTTCCGTATTGCATTTTGTTTGCCGGTTCCGACGCCGTTTTTTGCCGCGTCCGTCGAAGATTGTTTGCCGGTTTTGGCTCCGGTTCCCAATCCTGGCAGTCTTTGTTGTTGCTGCTTCCTGTTGCCCTGTTTTTTTATGACCGATTCCGTTTTGTTCAAGAGAGTGGTCTTTTCCCGGAGACGGTGAAAAATGGCTTTGCCATTCCCGCGGCCTTCTGAGCCCCCGATCCCTCCATCCCTGCTCGCCCCGTCCCTTGGGTTCCACACTCCCCACGGTGCCGGAGGTGAAGAGTATTCTCCGAAGGGCTTAGGCGACCCGTCCTCCTTCTCCTCCTCCTACTCCTCCTACTCCTCCTCCTCCTCCACCTCCTCCTCCTCACTCCTCCTCCTCCTCCTCCTCCTCCTCCTCCTCCTCCTCCTCCTCACTCCTCCTCCTCGGGTCGCCTACGGCCCCGGGGGAACCCGTGCAGAGGGAGGCCGCAATTTCGGTTCGTACGTGACGCACGAGACGAAGCACTTCATCTACTTCTACCTCGGCCAGGCCGGGCGGCGCCGGCGGCAGCAGCAGGAAGCCCCTGACCGCCCCCAAGGTTTAGGTCTGGCATGTCCTCCTACAGGCGGATGTTGGGCGAAATCGTAAAATATGCAAGATATATTCAAGCATAGTCAAAGATACTTCAAACATCGTCCCACACATGTTTGTGTGTGTGTGACAATTTTTGAATACTCCTTCTGTAGAAGGTCACGTCCGATTTAACCCAAGGGTCAGAGAACTCGTCTAAACCACCGTCAGCTCTGGCTTCCCAGGCAGGGGCTTCTCGACGCGAGCTTGTACATTGCGCCGACACGAGGGTGTGGTGGCAGAGGGGTGCAGAAGAGGGCCGGTGGGCGGGCGGGCGTAGCAGTGGTGGGGTGATGGGAGGAGGTGGAGGCGGGCGGAGGGGGGACAGATAGTCCAAGGGGGAGGCAGGGGAAAGACGAGGGGCAAGGGATGAGGTGTGGGGCACCTCACGGTCCACATGGAGCGGCTGGCCCGCAGGAATGGGTCCAGGCAATGAGCGTCCGAGACCTTCATAGGCATATCGGGTGGCTGGCTATTCTGGGACTCGGACTCTCTGGGGCCCCCGAGTTGCTTCACTACGGGACATACTGGGGCTGCAAGCGCTCAGATGCAGAACGGACCCCTGCCAGAGCCCACTCAGGAGGAACTCCCGTGAGGCGGCCGATGTGCTTCTCCAGTTCTCCAGAACCGTATCTCTGCATTGCAGACTACGGCATACATTCCCAGGCGGGCCCCACCTCCCTGGAGACCATGTGGAGAGTGAGTCATCTGATCATGGGATGGAGGAGGCATGAGATGCGCTTGTAGTGCCGCTTTCCAGACTGCACACGTTGGCAGCAAGAAGTAGCTTCCCAACTCGGGCCGTGGTGTCGCCGACCCTGCTGCGGCACCAGCGCGCAGCAGCTCCTCGCGGAGGTTCCCAGAGTCCCCCCGCGTCCACGCAGGCTCCCGTCCTGCGCGGGGATGTGCGAAGTAGGCTTCAGCTTCAGCGCACGCGAATCGCGCGCGTCCGATCCGAATGTGCGTATGCACGGGCGCAGTGCAGTGCGATTCATGCCACGTAATGTGCGGGCGTGCGATGCAGTGCGGTGCGATGCGGTGCTGTACTCTGCCTGTTTACCGGGGTCGTGAGCATTCTCGTCACGAGGGCCAGTTGCTTTAAGGTTCCCCTGCCGGGTTCCTTGAGGATGGCCCCGATGACTCCTCGAGCAAGTCCCCTTTGTCCTCGTGGAACCGCGTTGCTTGCGGCGTTTGGCTGTTTTTTTCTCATGCTGCTCGCCAGCTTTGAGAGAGCGTGATCCACCGCCGTTTTACTATGGAGAATTCGCCCCCCTCTTCCTGCGGAATCCGGGGGTCTCCCCCCCCTCCAAAAATCCCCCCCCTCCTTCCCAAAAACGGGGGGGGGGTCACTGCCGGTTCGAACCCCCCCACCCCTCCCCTTCCCTTCCCGAAAATTGGGCGGGGGGGGTCACTACCAGTTCGAACACCCCCCCCTCGAAAACCAGGGGGGGTCATTACCAGTTCGAACCCCTCCCCCCCCCAGAAAACCGGGGGGGGTCACTACCGGTTCGAACCTCCCCCCACCCCCCACCCACGCTCACCGCCAGCAAACGACTCCCGGGTCCCTACCACCGTCCGCACGACATCCCCCACTGCTGTCCCCAGCACCATTGTCCATTGTCCTCACCACCACTACCCCCACTGTTCCCACCACCGTCCCCACTGTCCCCACCAGTGCCCCCATCACTGTCGCACTGTCCCCACTGTCCCCACCACTGTTCCCACCACGGTTCCACTCTCCCCACTTTCTCCACGGCCCCAACCACTGTCCCACTGTCCCCACTGTCCCCACTGCCACACTGTCCCACTGTTCCCGCCGCTGTCCCACTGAGCTGTCCCACTGTTCCCACCACTGTCCCCACTGTCCCCACCACTGTCCACACTGTACCTCTGTCCCATTGTCCCACCGCCGTCCTCGCCACCGCCCTCACCACTATCCCCACCACCACTGTACCCTCCACTGTCCCACTGTTTCCACCACATTCCCACTGTCCCCACGTCACTGTCCCTACCACCACCGTCCCCACCACTGTCCCACTGTCCACATTGTTCCCACCATTGTCCCCGCTGTCCCCACCAGTGCCCCCACCAGTGTCTCACTGTCCCCACTCTCCCCACCATTGTCCCACCACGGTCCCACTCTCCCCACTTTCACCACGGTCCCCACCACTGACCCACTGTCCCCACTGTATCCACCACTGTCCCAATGTCCCCGCCGCTGTCCCGCTGTGCTGTCCCACCGTCCTCACTGTCCCACTGTCCCCTCCACTTTCCCGACTGTACTACTGTCCCACCACAGTCCTCACCACCGCCTTCACCACTGTCCCCGCCACTACCGTCCTCACCTCTGTCCCACTGTCCCCACCACTGTCCCGCTGTCCCCTCACCACTGTCCCCACCACCACCGTCCCCACCACCGTCCCCACTACTGTCCCACTGTCTCCGCACCACTGTCCCCACCACCACCGTTCCCACCACTGTCACAGCATCCCCACCATTGTCCAACTGTCCCGAGGAGCGGGACACGTTTGCCGGCGGCGAGGAGGGGGGGGTTCGAACCGGTAGTGACCCCCTCCAGGTTTTCCAGGGGGGTGGGGGGTTCGAACCAGTAGTGACCCCCCCCCTTCATGATGGACTGGGGCGGGGGGGGAACGAACAATGTATACACCAGGATCTCGTATACACCAAGATCCGCGTTCCTGTGCGAATTTCAGTGCAGGGCCAGCAAAAGCGTCGGTGTATAGAATACTTTGTTTGCCCGTTCTCGTCCTTCTCCTCATCCTGTGGCGCTGCCCAGCCCTGCCTGCGCCCTCCGCTGCCCTGGCAGGCGGACGGCAGCCTTTTGGGGCCCCAGAGCCCAGAAGCCCCGGCTGGGGCCCCCTTCCTCCTCCTTCCTCTCCGCCTCCTCCTCCTCCTCCTCCTCCTCCGCCTCCTCCTCCTCCTCCTCCTCCTGCCTCTCCTCCTTCTCCTCCTTCCTCTCCTCCTCCTCCTCCTCCTCCTCCTCCTCCTTCCTGTCCTCCTCCTCATCCTCCTCCTCCTCCTCCTCCTCCTCCCTCCTAGCCGTTTCGGCGAGAGCCAGGCGTCCCTGAGCGCCGCGCCGCGCCGCGCGGCGACCCCCGCGCGCGCGATGCAGTGGAAACCCATGCCAAGAAACGCCCTGCTTGCCTCCAGGGAGGGTGCCCTGCGCTTCTTGGGCTTGGGATCGTTTTGCGGTGGAAGGCGCAGCTTTCCCGCGCCAGAAATCCACGGACATCCTGGGGTTTCAGGGGTGGGTTTCTCGTGGAAGGTCTCTTGTGGTCGAGCTCCTACAGTCGGCGCGCCCTCGTGGGACGTCTCCTCGCTTCTGGCAGCGGACTTCGGAGCGGCGCAGCTGCTGGGGGCCAAGCTCGAGCAGGAGAGCAAGTGGCCGCACGGAGCATGGCCCCGAGGAGGAAAAGGTACCCCTACCGCTGCACCTCTCCCCTCGTTTCCCATGTCTGTTGGCACTCCTGGGAGACCCTCGCCGCCACCGCCGGATTCGCCTCGGCATCCCGGCCCAAACGCACCCAGGAGAGGTCCGGCTAGCAGCGGCATGTAATGGTACCTTTTGGTGTCCCCAGCACGTTGCACGGCGTGACGCCGGCGTCACCCCAGCATTTTTGTACTGTGTGTGCGTCGCTTGCCCAGGGGCGACGCGCGCACGGAGGGCTCTTCTAGCATCTGCGTCGTGGCGGCGGCTGGCGACCGAGGGCGGGCCGCAGCCGTCGCCGCCCTCCCCGCCGCCTGGCGCGCGGGCGGCGCCGCCCGCCCCGCCGGGGGGGAGGCCCCGGGGTGAGGGCGCGAGCCCCGGGGCCGGCAGCGGGGGCGCCCCGGGGGCTGCGGCGCGAGCGGCCCACGACGAAGGCCGCGGGCGGAAAAGAGGGGGGGAGCGTGCATTAATTACCTACCCCGCTTTCGCTTCCAGGCAAAACCAAGCCATACCACGCGCCTCCTCGTCAAGTGGCCTGACCAGTACAGGCTGCAATTTGGCATCGTTTGGTATCTCTTGGAAGCGCGGGTGGTCAAAAGCGAGGTAGGTTTGATTTCCCCCTAATCATGGCGTGGGCCATGATATTTCCCCAGATTTCATGGCGCCTCTTCTTATTTCATCACGTCCCTGGCCCCCCCCGCTGGGCCGCGCACGTGCCGCCGGGCATGATTTGCACCCCTCCCTCTTGGACACCCCCCTCTTGGCCGCTCCCGAGAAGGCGGGCATGTCCATCTAGAAGAGGAGTCTTCAGATACAGGCAAGGCACAGTCTGGGAACGACTCTTGCATCTGTGTGCCGATGGTGGACGATGTTTAGGAATCGTTTCGCCCGCTTCATTTTCTTCTTCCAAGCGCCGCCGGTGGGATCGCATGCCTGACCTCAGCCTGTGAGCGGGCCATGGAGGCGGTGCGCGCGCAGATGCGGGAGGCGCAGCAGGCGGCATCGGTGTAGGGCGCTGCACCCCAGCCGCTCGCGCAGCCGATCCCGTTGCAGGCGGCTCAAGAGGGCGAAGCAGGAGGAACAGGGGAAGAAGGACAAGAAACTGAAGCATGACCCCTGTAAGTTCCAGGGGGAGGACGAGTGTATACTCACCGGAGGATTTGCGCCGAGGGCAGCCGGTGGACTGGTTCGACATCGTGGACAGCTCTGACGGCGACAACAACGGGAGTGAGGACGGCCTCATCCGTTAGCTGGATGGTCGTGAGCATGGGGCCGACAGGAGAACAGGCCAAGATGGAGTACGCGGTGGCTGTGTCCAACGGGTTCGGCATGGACGAAGCAGACAGAGACAACACCATCTTCGAGACGACGAACAGCTCCGCGCACGAGCCGCATATGGAATGCAACGCGGAGAACCTGAAGTGCGAAAGTGAACAGGGGGTAGGGGGCTCGGTGGCCAGAACGGGCGGAAGGGCCCAGGGCCGAATTCCTGGGAGGAGGAATCCACTGCGATGGCCAGCCCGGCCCAGGAGAGCGGCGGTAGCTTGTTCAGCCTCTCCCGCGGCGCTGCCAGCAGTGCCGAGGGGCAGACCGAGTCCATGAGGTTCGGCGAGTACGCGGACGAGGACGAGGGCATGCAGGAGCTCCGCGTGTACATGTCCGATGAGCCCGTCTAGGGCATCGACAGCGAGCAGGGGCTGCAGCAGAGCGAGGTCTTTGGCATGCGCTGTGCGAGTAGTGGGCACGATGGTGGCCCGCGTCGGCTGCCAGGTCTGACATTGGCACTAACGTGAATAGTGCGGAGTTCTGCAAGAAGGATGCCAATGGTCAAAAGCGGGGCAAGCTGGCGGCGCAGCAGTCAGACGTCGTGTAGTTGCCCAGCAGCTCAAGCTCGTCGGGCGAACGGTTCGACTCGGCCGTCATCGAGTCTATCCAGGTGCAGTTTCTGAAAGATGTGGTCACGAAGCTGGGCCTTGACAGCGCCGTCGGCCCTGTGAGCCTCGGCCAGGTGCTCAAGGACCTTTCGCCGGCGGAGCGGTGCGCGGCCCCGGAGGCGCTGGGCGAGGCTCTCAGGGGGCACGGCGAGGACGGTGATCGGGGGTGGACAGAGATCGCACCCTGACACGTCGATTTGTAAATTGTCCGTTTTCGGTTCTCGAGGGGGCGCCGCGGCCGTCATTTTCCAGGCTTGCGCCTGCCAGGTTTGGGCCCGAGGTCGTTTCCATGATTACGTTGCGGAGGTTCTGTCCATCCCCGAGGTGATCTGGCCGAGAGACTCGGCAGGGGCCAAGATCAAGATCTCTGAGGTCGTGGTCTGAGTGCTGGGGTTCTGGGGGGGGCGGTCTCGGCCTGGGTCGCCTCGGGATTCGGCCTCTCTCTGTGCGCGTGGGGCTTGAGGCGGGAACCCAGGGGGCGCCTTCTTTGGAGCGGTCTGCGGTTGCAGGCGCCGCGGAGGGACCGCCTCCTTGCACTGGATGCGAGGGAGCAAGCTCTGTTTGCTTTTAGCCTTCAGCCTCCCTCCTCCTCCTCCTCCTCCTCCTCCTCCTCCTCCTCCTCCTCCGCCTCGTTCTCCTCCTCCTCCCCCTCCTCCCCTTCCCCCTCCTCCTCCTCCTCCTCCTCCTCCTCCTCCTTCCAGGCCTGAACGTTTTCGGCACACCTCGTAATTTTCTGTCGTCTTTGTTACCTCTGTTGCTCTGTTACCTCTGTTGCCTCTGTTAGCTCCTCCTCCTCCTCGTCCTCCTCCTCCTCCTCATCCTCTTCCTCTTCCTCATCCTCATCTTCCTCCTCCTCCTCCTCACCGGCGACAGGGACGGCTACGGCTTCTATTGCCCCCTCACTTTCGCCGGGCTTCCAGCCAGGTCGCAATCTTGCTGTTCAAGTCTGGCTGAGCGCGAGCCTGCTGCCAGCGGGACGGCCCGTGCCAAGGGAGCAAGGGAGCCAACGGAGCGGGAACAGGTTCGCGGACAGGGGTGACAAAGCAATGGGGGGAGGCGGGGGAGGAGGCGGAGGTGGCGGAGGAGGCGGAAGAGGAGGAGGAGGAGGAGGTGGAGGAGGAGGAGGATGAGGAGGAAGAGGAGGAGGAGGAGGAAGACGCGGTGGAGGAGGAGGAAGACGAAGAGGACTAAGAGGAGGAATCTTAGGAAGAAAACACTTGTAAACAATACGGTGAAGAATACGAATACGAATATTAAACATAAGACGAATACCAATCATAGTAGTAACACTACGAATGTTATTCCTAATAATACTAATAATAATTCACCAATAGTTAGATTACACATGGTACGCATATGTTTACTGATAGTATTACTGTGCGGCAGAAGAGTAATACTACCACGAATCATACTAATAATACTACTGAGAAGTTAGGAGTACGAAGTATCATAAGGCGAATCACACTACTTCTCATACTAAGAATATTAATCACAACCGTATCAATAAGAATGCTACATCTAAGACGAATTCTACTACTAATATGACTGCTGATAGGAATGAAAATAAGACGAATCGTACTAGCAGCACTAATAGTAATGCTAGTGGTAATAATGATAATAACCCGACTGTAAGAATACGAACACTATTACTACTACTACTACTACTACTACTACTACTACTACGACGACGACTACTACTACTACTACTACTCTACACTACTACTACTACTACTACTACTACTACTACTACTACTTACTACTACTACTACTACTACTACTACTACTACTACTACTACTACTACTACTACTACTACTACTACTACTACTACTACTACTACTACTACTACTACTACTACTACTACTACTACTACTACTACGACTACGACTACTACTAATGCTACACATCACAATGAGGCTACGAACACGAATAATAAGAATACTAATACCAAACATGACATTCATACTAATAATGATGATACGGCTAAGAAGACGAGGAGGAGGAAGAGAAGGAGGGGGAGGGGGAGGGGAGGGGGAGGGGGATGGGGAGGGGGAGGGGGAGGAGGAGGAGGAAAAGGAGGAGGAGGAGGAGGCGGAGGAGGAGGAGGAAAAGGAGGAGGAAAAGGAGGAGGAGGGAGGAGGGCGAGGAGGAGGAGGAGGACGAGGAGGAGGAGGAGGAGGAGGAGGGGTGACGAGGAGGAAGAGGGGGAGGAGGAGGAGGAGAGGAGGAGGAGGAGGAGGAGGCGGAGGCGGAGGAGGAGGCGAAAGAGAGGAGGAGAAGGAGGAGGAGGAGGGGGAGGAGGAGGAGGAGGAGGAGGAGGAGGAGGAGGACGAGGAGGAGGAGAACGAGGAGGAGGAAGAGTCGGAGGAGGAGGAAGAGGAGGCGGAGGATGATGAGGAGGAGGAGGAGGACGACTAGGAGGATGAGGAGCAGGATGAGGACGACGAGGAAAAGGAGGAAGAGGAGGAGGAGGAGGAGGAGGAGGAGGAAGAGAGGGGAGGAGGGGGAGAAAGACTACGAATAATACGACTAAGAATGATACCATGGAAATGAAGACTGATTTTAGGCTAATCAAGAAAACTGATACTAGGAAAACAACGGCTATGAACAAGCATACCAACACTAATTTCGCGTACAAAGCATAATACCAACAAGGCGAATACTCCTATTAATACTGCGACTACGAATAATGACAATACGTTTCGTACGAGTGATTCGACGAATCACAGCAGTACGAATACCATGACGAAGACACATGCGAAACATATAAATAATAACCAGTAACGAACATTACGAATACTATTGATACAGATGATCATCGTAATTGTTCTACTAACAGTAAGGATAACACGAGGCGGATGAGGATGAGGAGAAGGAGGAGGAGGAGGAGAAGGCGGAGGGGGGAGGCAGAATGGGACGACGAGAGGGGAAGGAGGGAAGGGAGAGGATGATGGGAGGAAGACGGGAAGGAGGGAAGGAGTGCAGGAGTGGAGGGGGACGTGTGGAAGGAGGGAGGAGGTCGGAATCTCGTTGGGAGTGGAGAGTTGACCATAAAGAGCAAGCGGAAAAGCGAGGGGGGAGGAGGAGGATGAATGAATGAACAGCGCCTCGAAAGGTCGGAAGGTGACAGCACCAAAAGCATAGCATGCTGAGCCACAGGATCAGCCGCGCGCGCCGCTGCGGCCGCGGCACGCCGCGGGCCGCCGGGCGCTCACGGCGCGGGCGGGCCCCCCGCAAGCGGGCAGCACGGGGATGGCAGGGCCAGCTGCCCCGCCACGTTCTGTCGGACGGACAACACCCCAGCCGGAAACAACCGGCCCCCGACAGAACGGACAGAGGCCAGGCCCCACCAAACCCCCACCACCCACCCCAGGGGCCCGCAACGACACGACAGACGACGACAGCGACGGCGACGACACGACGGGGAAGACGGACCCCCAGCCACGACTCCCACGGGGGACACCTGGCTGGGTAGCCGGGCTCCCGTGGGAGGCTGCGTGGCCGGGGGCCCCCCGGGAAGGGGACCCCGCTTTGGGGGACTTTTCCCCCGAAGGCCCGGCGTTCCCCGCCTCCGCCAGGGGGCGCTTTGGCCCGACACCCCACTTATGGGGGTGGCCCTCCGGGGCGGGGGAGGAGGAGGAGGAGGACGAGAAGGAGAAGGAGGAGGAGGAGGAGGAGGAGGAGGAGGGAGTAAAGGAGGAGAAGGAGGATCACGAGAAGGAGGAGTAGGATGAGAAGGATGCGGAGAAGGAGGAGGAGGAGGAGGATGCGGAGGAGGAGGAGGAGGAGAGGAGGAGGGTGAGGTGAAGGAGGAGGAAGAGGAGGCGGAGGAGGAGGGGGCGGAAGAGAAGAAGGAGGAGGAAGGAGAGAGGAGGAGGAGGAGGAGGAGGAGGAGGAGGAGAGGAGGAGGAGGAGGGGGTGAGGTGAAGGAGGAGGAAGAGGAGGCGGAGGAGGAGGGGGCGGAAGAGAAGAAGGAGGAGGAGGAGGAGGAGGAGGAGGAGGAGGAAAAGGAGGAGGAAGACGAGGTGGAAGAGGAGGGGCGAGGGAGAAGGGTGGACTGAGGAGTGTGGAGGATTGGGGAGGAGGGAGATGCACTGAGATGAGGCTGTAGGGGGGTGGGGAGGAGTGAAGATGCGGGAGGAAGGGGGTAGGGAGGATTTTGTCGGGAGGGGTGATGGGGGAGGTGAGAATTGTGAGGAGGGAGGAGGGGTGGTGGGAGTGGGGGGGGGCCGGATGGAGGGAGGAGCTGGTTAAGGCAGGAGGGGTCCCGTTCGAGACGAGGGTGCCCACACGCATATCACTGGCCCGTGTTGATACCAGGCGTGGTGTAACATGTTGTTAGCTGCCAGCTGCCACCTATACGTTGACACAGGTGCCAGTCGGGCTTTCCCATCGTGGGACCAGGACATGTAAAACACTTTTCCTTGTTAGATCAGCGGCAGGAAGGGCCGGCACATCAATCCAGGGCCCAGAATGGGCCTAGTCAGCTCCGATGTCAGCGCACAGCGTGCAATTCCCTACATCAGCCCATGTCTCGTTCGCTCCCTGCAGCAGGAGTTGCGGAAACCCAGTGGAGGGAGAGGCGTGCAGAAAAAAAATGTCGACTGCTCACCCGCAAGTGCCCGACCTGTGGGAAGGATAAAGCAGGGCGTGACGTGGTAGTTCCGCTTGGAAGTACGTGGAGGAAGAGGAGGATGAGGAGGAGGAGGAGGAGGATGAGGAGGAGGAGGAAGGGGGGGGAGGAGGAGGGGGGGGAGGAGGAGGGAGGAGGAGGGAAGGAGGAGGAGGGAGGAGGAGAGGAGGAGGAGGAGGAGAGGAGGAGGACGAGGAGGAGAGGAGGAGAGGAGGAGGAAGGAGGAGGAGAGAAGGAGGAGGAGGAGGACGAGGAGGAGGAGGAGGAGGAGGAGGAGGAAGGAGGGGAGGAGGAGGAGGAGTGGTTGCACATACGCGCTGGCCCTGAGGTAGGGCTGAAGGGCCGCCCCGAAACTCTTCCCCCCCCCCCACCCGAGTATGCCCCTCGGCCGAGGCGTCCTCTGGCCGAGACGCTCCGATCCGTTTGCGAGTCCGCTGTATATCTATCATGCCGGGCCACCAGGGGCCCAGGCCCTCCCTGCTTCTGCGGGGC